TTTTTTTTTTGTTATTTTTCAATTTCTTTTTCTTCTACTTTATGTCCTATGTTTAGAGGAAAATTTTTCAAAATTGATATTATCAATTCCACTAGACTAAGGTCATTATCACTTGAAGTGCTGATCTGTTTATTTCTGCTATTTTGAATTGGTCTTATGTGAATGTATGTCTTCCATATTTAAAAAAGAAAAAAATGATTCAGATTAACGAGTTAAGCTATTTATCAAGCACAGCAAATAATACTTTTTGTTTTTAGGTGCTGTTAAGCTTAAGAAGTGACGACAAATCACCGTGGAAACGGCATATTTTAAAATTTGATCATAACCTAAATTACATAGCAAAAATTGAGGGTCCAAAGTGGATTGCTGATGAAACAGTGACAACTGAGCGCCTTTGTTTTGCACCAAATGGTTGCCTGTACATGTCAGTTGATGGGCATTCTTTTACAGCTTTGTATGAATTATCCACCGAGAGCAAATGGACTGAATTGGTATTTAAAAGGAAAAAAGCATTCATTGATGTACAGGTATCAGGTGTTTAAAAAAATTTTTTTTCTATTTTATTAATCTTTTCATTCGATTCAAAAAGAAAAATTGAACGTTTTTTAAAAAATAAATTGTACCGCTTTTTTCTAAGCAATTAATACTAATAAACTGAGTCTAGCTTTTGTTTTTTATTTTTGTTAGCAAAATTACACGAAATTTTAGTACAATTTACAATACAACTTTGTTTTTTTTCTTGTTACCAATTAAAATTTTCTTTAAAGAATTCTTGTAATTGCTATTTGGTAGTTTGTCGTTTATTATCAGTTTTTTTTCTTCTTCGTAGTTGTTATTTTTGCTAACACACTTATAAAAAGCTTTGAAATTTTCTTTGCTGTTAGTTCTTAGCTTAAACATTCTCTTATGGCAGTTTAATTTGAATATTTTGCCTTTTTTTTTCTCAGGTACTTACTTATATCGATCCAGTAAATGAAGTATTGGTAGTGGAACGGGACAGTGGATACATCTATATGTTCAGCATTGGCCGATCCAATGTATACTCGCGTAGAACACTGTCACTTGTGGAACGACCGGTAGCGTTAACGGTGGACGAACGAGGTCAACTATTTATTGCCGATATCAGTCAAACGAAAGTCCGTCAGCTGGATACTAGACTGGCTTTTCAACCACTACGTGATATTGCACTATTACAACATTCACCCTATACCATAACGGCTCATCGTGGCTTCTTAGCTGTAACATATCGTGAGAAGAATGTTGTGCTGATTCATAAATATGAAGATGTTAAATAAATTGATATATAATTATGCAAGTTTTAAGGTTTTTTTAGCTCTTTCAACTCAAGTGAACATTGGTGCTTAATCTCAGTTGTTTCATGATTACTATATTACGGTTTTTTTTTTCTTTGCTTTCTCAGCCAACATCGGTCAATCATTCATTTAGTTTGGTTTACAGATTTGT